GCGCCTTCCGGCCCCCGGGCGAGGCTCTGTCGTGTCCGCTGTGTTCTGAGCGCCTTCCGGCCCCCGGGCGAGGCTCTGTCGTGTCCACTGTGATCCGAGTGCCATGCACCCCCCGGACGAGGCTCTGTTGTGTCTGCTGTGTTCTTAGTGCCTTCCAGCCTGAGGCACTGACCCTCCAGCGGCCCCCGGCCCCTGGACGAGACTCTGTTGTTTCTGCTGTGTTCTGAGCACCATCCACCCCCCGGGCGAGGCTCTGTTGTGTCCGCTCGGCTCTCAGTGGCTGATTCTCAGACGTCTGTGGCCAGGCCTTTTCTCCTGTTCTGTCTTCGTCTGGAAGCTCTGCCAAGACCTGTCCACCTGGGTGACCCTGCTGGCACAGCTCCTGGCGTCCCAATGACCCATGAGCCGCCCCCGTGCGCCACACTGACGGGAGCTCGGTGTGAGGAGCGATGGTGTGTTGGCGGCCTGGGGCTGGGAACACCACGTCCATTTACACGGACTTTCTGTGCACACTGTTGTGTTCCGTGTCAGCCCCTGCTCCACCTTCAATGCTTTTTCCCCTTTGCTTTTGTTAGTTTTGAACCCACCAAAAATAGACATGTAAACAGAACACCCATAGGCTCATTCACGCTGGGTTTGACCAGTTGTGTCAGATGCTTCTTACACACAAACATTGCATTTCAACCCTGAACACTTCAGGGTACAGTCCTAAAACAGGGTGTTCTCCCCACAGCCACGATGCTGTTGTGACCCCCACAGAATCAGTGACGCCTCTTCAATGTCATCTCAGAACCCGTCAGCAGCCACATTTCTTCAGCTCTTCTCAGAAGGCCTCCTGCAGCTGGTGTGTCCAGACCGGGGACTGGAGCAGCCCTCGTGGGGCATTTGTCCACAGTGCCCAGGTCTGATCTGTGGCCATGAGGGTCCCACAGCACACCGGGCTTCAGGCAGGGAAACGGGCCGTTCCCATAATGTGTGTGTGTGTGTGCGCACGCACATGCCCGTGTGTGTTTGTCTAAAGTGAAGTGCCCTGCATCCAAGTGCTCTCAGCACCCCCACTCCGGCCACTGTGCTCATGCTCACCCCAGTGGTATCTTGGGGAACCTCCCAGTCGACCCAGCTCTTCAAGCCCCATGGCCTCCTAACCACCCATGAGACAGGTTTCCTTTCCTTTCTTTTCTTAAATTGTGATTTTTAGGTGAAAGTTTACAGGGCAAATTCACTTTCCACTCAACAGCTCATACACGCTTTGCTTCCTGACGTTGACACAAGGCCCTCAATGGAGCAGCTCCTCCCACTTCCTCCCTGTGGTTACCTTTTCCCTGTGTCTTCCTTCCCTAGCTCTTCCTGTCCCCTGAGATTTCTTCTGGCACAGGTGCTGCCCCTCCCATCTCCCCACGATGATTGGTCTAAGCAGTGTACGCACCTGGTGTAAATGTCCACCTTTCAGGTATTGTTTGGCTAGAACTTAAGCCACAGGAGTGAGTTCAATTCCAGGCCTGAAGGCTGATGAGGGGCCATAGTCTTGGGGGTTTCACCAGTCTATCAGACCAGTAAGCCTGGTCTTTTTTTATGATTTTAGTTTTGTTCCACACTTTTCCCCCACTCTATCCAGGATCTCCTACATAGATCCCTCTCTGAGTGGTAGCCAGGCACCATCTAGTTCTTCTGGTCTCATGGTCATGTCAGCTGAGATTCTCATGGTCCACTAGTCCCTTGGACTAATTGTATCCATGCATCTTTGACTTTCCTCACAGTTCTTTGCTCCGGACAAGGAAAGAGCAACAGTTGTATCTCAGGTGGCTGCTTGTGAGCCTTTCAGACCCTAGTTGCTACTTGCCAACGTAGGATGTAGAACAGTGTCTTTGTGTCGTGTGTATGCCGGCTGGGCTTGCCATCTGTCCCTCACGACCATGGTTCTGAGCCTGTAGGCCCAGAGACGCACTCCCTCGGGGTGGCTGACTGTGGGCAAGGAGTTACCATCACTTTGCCCTTGTTAGCTCTATTATATATAAGGTCATCCTTATAGCACCTACAAATGCATTGTTGTTGTTATTTGCCATTGAGTTGGACTAGACTCATAGCGACCCCTCCTTGGGTTTCCAATGTAGTATCACTACAGAAGTAGATTGCCCAACCTTCCTTCCGAGGAGTGGCTGGTGGGTTTGAACCACCAGCCTTCTGGTTAGTGGTCAAGTGCCTTAGGCACTACGCCACCAGAAATGTGGAAATATTGTCCGCCAAACCCGTACAGTCACAGTGTGTTCTTTCGCCTTTCCACACCTGACCATCTCACCCGTCTAGCGATGTAGCCAGCTGTACCCTAACGTTTGCTGCTATGGACGATGTAGCAGCAGGTATGTGATGTGGTTTACGTCTTCTGCACCTCTCCGTGTCTCCCTTCTCCTTAGTGATGTTGTGCTGGTCCCTTGCCCTAAGGGTACTTCCTTTCCCTCCACCCAAATATGAGATAGGTTATTGCCACTCACTTTGTAGATGAAAAACAGAGAGGCGATGGGCCCAGGGCCATGGCAGAGTCCGGCCTTGATGTCTGATGCTTTGTTCCTACATGGGTAAGGATGACCCGACTTGACTGAAGGCTCTGGAAACGCTGTGCCGTTTGTACAGTGATCTGTGGGACCCTGGAAAGTTGGAGCTGAAGGCTTGCCAGAGGCCCCTCCAGTGGCCACAGTCCTACAAACAAGGTGATTCCTCATAGCCCCTCCATTCTCACCTTGCTGTGCCTTGAATGTGTCAGGCGGTTTCTGCCCCAGGCCCTTTGCACGTGCCCCCCACTGGGAGTCCTCCTCCTCCTTTGCCTGGGCGCGGCTGGAATGTGCCCTCCCCAGTGAAATCTGTCCTGACTGCCCTGTCTAAGGCATCCCCTTCCCACCTGTCGTCACTGTCCCATTTTCCTCCTTTCTTGGTGGCTTTGTTGTGATAATTCAGACAAGAACATTTGCCACTTGGCTGTCCTCAAGTGCAGTTCAGTGACATGAGTTCCGTTCTGTGTGTTCAGCCCTCCCCTCACACCCTCCTAGGTTCTCGCATCACCCTTGCCCCTTGTCCTGCGTTCCCCTTCCCACCCACCCCAGTGTTCTCTCTGTGTGTTTGCCTTCTGGATCATTCCTATCAGTGGGATCATACAAAGTGTGCCCCTCTGTGTCTGGCTTATTTCCCTCTGTGTGGAAACGGCGTCCGAGCTCCTCTAACTCCACGAGGCGTGAGACAGCCCCAGCCTCAGCCCAGCGCTCAAAGCCGATGCTCGGAGGACAGACGAGGCTCCATCCTCCAGCCTTCTTAGGAGAACCAGCCGCCCCTCCCAGCAGTTCCCTCCACGGCTCTCTCGCCTCCTCTGCTGGGCTCGGCAGTTCCTTACGGCAGCCACACAGACCAGAGTCACAGTTAGGGGTCATTAGGGAAGTAGCAGGTTACCATTCAGTGTCCAAGCGGCTCAGGATCCAGCTGTGAGATCTCTGGCCCTCGCTGTAGCCCCTTGGCCGGGCCACTGCCCTGCCGGGTGAACATCACAAAGCTCATTCCCTCTGCCATTCAGTGCCCCGGGGCATCACCCCTCCAGCAAGCCTCCTCCCTCTGTGGGCCGGGAAGCCACCACATCATTCCCACTACTCTCCTGGTTTTCTGCAGTCGATTCTCGCCGTCTCTCCCACCACCTGAGGAGTTAAACTTTCTCTCCCTCCATCTTGTGGATCTAGGAGGCTCTCAGCACAGGGACCCTGGGTCTTCTGCCAGCTCTTCTTTCTTGTGGTGGTCCCTTTCTTGTGGTGCTCACTTCTGTCTCCTTTTATCTCTTGTAAGAAAGTAGGAGCTCTGGTGGCGTAGTGCCTAAGGCACCTGACTGCTAACCAGAAGGCTGGCAGTTCAAACCCACCAGCCACTCCTCGGAAGGAAGGTTGGGCCATCTACTTCTGTAGTGATACCACCTCAGAAACCCAAGGAGGGGTCACTATGAGTCGGGTCCGACTTGACGGCACGTAACAACAACAACAAGCTGAAAGGTGCTGTGCAAGGAAGGGCATGACTTCCGTGAGATGGTGAAGGGTGGCGTCTCGAGTCACACCCTCTACGAAGGTGGTCCTGCCTCAATAACGTAGTGGCCAGTTCACTCTCACGTGGGACCCTAACCACAGGCATGGAGGCTGTGATGTACAGCACACCACATGGTGGGGGGCCGTGGCCAGCAGGGCCATGGCAAGGAGTCTACCGCACTGCACTCAGCATCGTGTCCACAGTGCTCCCCATGTCATAGCACGCGTAAGGACCTCATTTCTTCTTAGGGTAATAGTTCGGGCGTGATGGCCACACTGTGTATCCACTGCCCCCCTGAGGGGCACGTGGCTGGTGCCCATCCTTTCGTGATTGTGAGCAGCAGGACATGCAACCCCTTCTTCCCTGCCACATCACAGGTTGCTGTTTTGTCCACGTGTTTGTTGGCTCACGTGGTGTCTGCTCCTTGCTGTCTTGCCATGTAGCATGATGAGGGCAGGAGCATTTCTGCTCTGAGCTGGTGCCCACCCAACTCCAGGTCTAGGTCTGCACATGGCAGGTGACCCACATGTAGCTGTTGAATGAGTGGAAGAGTGAGTGGGTGAGTCCAGATGGGCCACAAACCACACAGGACCGTAAGAGGCCACCCACCCTGACCTGGCCTCTGTGTCCCCTCACAGTGATGGGTGCAGATCGTCCAAAGCCACGCCCTCTAAAAAGCCGGGGAA